TGGTAACCTGTTTTGCTGATCAGCAGCTGGTTGATGCTGCAGCTAATTCTGCTTAAATTAGGGAATTTATACTTGTGATGCTGCACAAATCTGCAGCAGATCTGCCTGAAGGCAGTGTGGGGTCAATGGGGATGCAGGGAAGAACAGCATGAGGGAAAGGGCTGCTGTTGCTACTGTTCTTGTCTTAATAAATTTTTAGAATCAGAGAATTTGTTTAAAAGCAGAAGTAGGCTGTGGGACATGGACTATGACAAGCTCTGGTAATTTCACAGCATTTGTCTTTGTGTAGGGCAGCAAAGCTGTCTGTCCCCTTTCTGCTGCATCAAGAGAACAAACAACATAATGAATATTAACCTCTGTATTACACTGGAAAGAGAGTGAGGACAGCTGTCATTGTGCTTTTATCTTTTAGCTTTCTGACTATTTCCAGATCTATATTGAAAGACTCCAGCAATTTTTTTTTCTTTTAACTTTTCACAAGGTTCTCACTCAGTTGTCAGCTTCCACCCAGCCTGGTGGTTCTGAGGGGATTTCAAGCATGTATGATCTTTATTGTCCTTGACTGAAGAGGAAGGGCTGGAAAGTGTTTTATTTCCTGCCCTCCCCTCTCTGGTCTGTGGTCAGGGGATCTCTCAGATTGTCCCTCATCTTCCTTCCTTTTGGTTCAGCCTCACAGCTTTTTGTCTGCAGGGGTGGAGTGGGGGCTTGTAAGGGCAGAGCCTGCTGAAGGCCCCATCCCAGGGGTGCTCTGCTCATGTTTAATGGGATAGACCTGGCTCCCCTTCTCCTGAATCAGAATCTCAGTTGTTGTCATTACATTGCAAAGGTTTCACATTGTTGTTTCCTTAGTGCAAGAGTTTCATACCTCCTTGATGTTTCTCAAAGGCAGGTCCTCCAAGCACTGACTCTTCTTCTTCTCATAGCAGCCAACTGACTACAGTTCCTGCTCAAATAACCAATCCACTCTTTTATAGCACTCTTCTTCTCATTGGCTTCACTGTGGCCTGTTAAAGTCAGGCCTGCTCCTAATCTTTAATAATTAGCCCAGCTGCAACTCCTTAGGGGGTAAGATTACTTTCTACACTACCTTTATTTTCTTATATTCTATCCCTCTACACTCAGTTACAGAATGGTGAGCACAGATTGGATCCAATGGTGGATCCAGCTCTACCTCCTGCCATAGGCAGGAACACCTTCCACTATCCCAGGTTGTTCCAAGCCCATCCAGCCTGGCCTTGGACACTTGCAGGGATCCAGGGGCAGCCACAGCTTCTCTGGGCACCCTGTGCCAGGGCCTGCCCACCTTCACAGGGAAGAATTTCTTCCCAAGATGTGCAATAGCATTGCTTCCTTACACATGGACACAGCTGAGAAGGGAAGCAGCATGAAAATATTCAGTACTGTGGTTGGGGATGCAAATTCCTGATGCCTTCTGATCTAGAGCAGCTGCTTTCCAGTCTCATGTTCAATCTAATTGAATTTGGGTTCTCTTCCATTTTGTGCAACTCTGTGTGCAGTAAACTGCATTTTAAATTTGTTTCAGGTGTTTTTATGGAGTTTGATTTGGTCATAGGTGCTAGAACTCAAATACCACTTTTTTTTTGGTTTTGTCCTTGATGCATGCATAACTTCCCTTAAAGTAAATATTAAGCATGGACTGGTTTGTCTGAGCCAGGGTAGCAAGCCCACCTACAGCCGGTGGAAAACTGAGTGATTGGAAACATGTTTTGAGAAGAACAGAGGAGATTTCAGCCTTTCTCCAGCTGATCAGCTGAGCCGCTGCCTGTGCATGCCATGGCTTGTCTCTCTGAAGCATTTGGAAGAGGGGAGGGAAGCTTTGCTGTTGCTGCTCATTCTCCAGAGCCCTGCTGTGCTCACTGAGCACAAAGTGCTGCTTCATGGAGGGCTCCACCATCTCCTGGAGTCTTCAGAGATGTGGTGCTGCTCCTGTGGATTTAACATCCCCCCTAACCCCAGGCCACAGCTACCAAACAACTCTGCTCCCTGTTTAAGCTCTGGTAATCTTGGCTGGATTTCTGGTTTAATTTGGAGCCAGCCTGCTGCAGCTCTGCACAGTAAATGCCCTATTAAGCAGTTAATTATTTCTCTATAATACCAGCTTTTATCTTTAATACAACAGTTTTACTGTCTCTGATAATTACACAGTCTCAGATAACTCTCTTAAATCTAATGAGGCATGACAAGCTGTGTTCAACAAGGCACCACACCATTAACTTCTTACCTCTTACTTGTCATCTTATCACACTGAATTACTGTGTTTCTAGCCTGAGTGGCTGTGGATACATAACATGTCACTTCTCATTAAGAAAATAATGAAAATCACCCCTGGTGCTCCTGTGGTTGGGCCAGTGGTCAGCTGGCTGGCCTGAAGACCCCTCCAAAAGCTTTTTTTCAGCATTGTGCTCTTTGCCCCCATCAGCTAAGGGTTGCTTTAAACAATTCTGGCCCTTTTGGTCCATGGCTGTGATGCTTGTGGGTAGGTGAAATGAAAATTGGATTTTGAAGGGCATCAGTGATGATGGGTCTTGTCTGAGCTGGTGGCAGTCATTGCTGCAGGAATGGGTCATGGTGGGATTCAGCTGGATGAGGGAAACTGGTGGGTTTTTTCTGGACAGGGGTAGGACAAGCTGCAGCAGCAGGGTCTGAGTGACTTGAGTGGTGCCTTGTCACTCATTGCTGGCAACAATGGGTGAGGTTGTGGCAGTGCTGGTTTTCCGTGGATTTGAGCCTGGCAGCAAATCCCTGTATGTGCCTGACTAAATCCTGAGATTAGGAGAGATCATAGGATTGGGGAATGGTTTGGTTTGTGGAAGGGACCTTACACACCTTACAGTTCCACCCCCTGCCATGGGCAGGGATAACTCCCAGTGTCCCAGGTTGCTCCAAACCCCATCCTGTTGCAGACATCTTTTATGGAAAATCCTTTCCTTAGGATTTTTCCTCCTGAGAAGCTGAGAGGCCTCAGGAACAAAATGTAATCAATGATTATCTGCTGCTGTGGAATGCAACAGGTGGATCTGTGATTAGCCCATGTTGGTTGTTTCTAATCAATGGCCAATCACAGTCAGCTGGCTCAGACTCTGTCCAACACACAAGCCTTTGTTATCATTCCTTCGTTTTCAATTCTTAGCTAGCATTCTGATGAAATCCTTTCTTCTATTTTTTAGTATAGTTTTAATGTAATATATATCATAAAATAATAAATCAAGCCTTGTGAAACATGGAGTCAGATCCTCATCACTTCCCTCATCCTAAGATCCCTGTGAACACAGTCACACCATCCAACCTGACCTTGGACACTTCCAGAGGTGGAGCAGCCACAGCTTCTCTGGGCACCCTGTGCCAGTGCCTCCCCTTCCTCACAGTAAAGAGTTTCTCCCCATTATCCCACCTAAATATCTCTTTTTTTATCTGTAAAAAGTTCCTCATTGTCCTTCCACCCTTGTCTTCTCATCTGTTGCCCTGTTACCTTGCCAGTAAAAGCAGGACAAAGCTGCACTTCTGAAATGTCAAGGCTCCTGTCAGGGAAGTCCCAGCATCCTTCCATGCTGGATCAGGAAGGCATTTCCCAGGGGAAGGATCCCAGTCTGCCTTTGGAGTTATTATATTTGTGGGGACCCTCATGGCAGGAAGGAATGATGGTTCTGACTCCATGTTCTCAGAAGGGTAATTTGTTATTTTATGATACTATATTATATTAATGAATGCTGTACTAAACTGTACTAAAGAATACAGAAAGGATACTTACAGAAGGCTAAAAGATAATAATGAAAGCTCGTGACTCTTTCCAGAGTCCTGACACAGCTTGGTGCTGATTGGCCAAAGAGTGAAAACAACTCACAGCAGAATCCAATGAAACAACCAACTGTGGATAAACAATCTCTGAACACATTCCACATGACCAAGACACAGGAGAAGCAAATGAGATAATATTGTTTTCATTTTTTTCTGAGGCTTCTCATCTTCCCAGGAGAAGAAATCCTGGCAAAGGGATTTTCCAGAAAATATGACACTGACACCTCTGGTTGCTTTGCTCCAGGCCAGAGAACAAAATCATGGAATCATTCTGGCTGGAAAAACCATCCAGAATTATCAAGTCCAACCATTAACCCAGCACTGCCAAGCCCACCCCTAACCCTAAACATAATATCTCTGTGTTCTGGATACTTCAAGCGACAGCAATGCCACCACTGCCCTTGGTAGGTGCCTTGGCTTTGCTCAGCTTTAAATTTACAAATGCTCAGGGTCCTGTGTCACTGTCATATTTTCTGAAAAATCCTCTTTGCCCAGGATTCGTCTCTTGGGAAGCTGAGAAGCCTCAGAGAAAAAGGAAAACAATATTATCTGATTTGCTTCTCCTGTGTTTTGCTGCTTTGGAATGAGGTTAGAGATTGTTTTTCCAACAGGTGGTTGTTTGATTGGTTTCATGTGAATTGTTTTAACTTAATGACCAATCAGGGTCAAGCTGTGTCAGGACTCTGGAAGGAGTCATGCATTTTCATTATTATCTTTTGGCCTTCTATAAGTATACTTTCTGTATGATATGATAATGATATAATATTATAATGTGATGTAATATTGTAATGTAATAATGTAATATCCTTCTATAAGTATACTTTCTGTATGATATGATAATGATATAATATTATAATGTGATGTAATATTGTAATGTAATAATGTAATATAATAATATCATATAATGCTATAATATTATAGAAATATAATATAATATAATATAATATAATATAATATAATATAATATAATATAATATAATATAATATAATATAATATAATATAATATAATAATATATGCCCTCTAAGAACATGGAGTCAGATTCATTCCTTCCTGCCATGAAGAACCCCAGAAAATGCCACAGTCCTGCAGGGTTTTTGGGCTGCTTTTGCAGTGCAGGTGGGTGCAGGCTGCACACCTGGAGGGTTCACCTGGGTAATGGAATCTCTCTGATTCTCTTTGCAGTGAAACGATTTAAAGAGCCAAAGGCAGAGCGGCGTCCCTGGAGGATATGGTGAGATTATTTTCATTTGAAACTTAAAAAAACTGTATTTAAAATACCTTTTTTCTCTTATGCGAACAGTCTTCTATGCCCCTATATGTATCCTATATGTATCCTATATGTGTATCCTATATGGCATTTAATTGTTGAATGAAATGTGCTGCTGCTTCCCAAAAACTTCCATAAAGTAGCTGGTGTTCCCTAGAAATAAAATTCCGTGCTTGGCTCTTTCAGAAAGTCTTGGTTTTTCCTCCAGGTTCTATGATACCTCCAAGCAAGCCATAGGTGCCCTCTTCATCCACTTTGCCAATGTTTTTCTGTCTGATCTCACTGAGGAGGACCCTTGTTCTCTGTAAGTACACAAGGCACTTACCTTCATACCCTCCATCTGTCAAAGGGAGAATTGTTTTGGGAAGGTCATGAACAGTGGAAATGGATCCATCTGAAGCAGTGCATGGGGATAAACCCTGCTGAGCTTGTTTTTGTGGTCTCTGTTGCCTTCTTTGCTGGTCCTGTTTGGGAGATTCCCAAACCAAACTCCAAAAACTAAAATTTTCTAAAATGCTGAAACTAAATTTTTATCTGCAAAGTGTCTGAAGTAAAGGTGGGACTTCTACATTTACTTCAGACACTTTGCAGATAAAAATTTAGTTTCAGCATTAACCTCATCTCATTTTGAGAAACTCTTTTAGGTTTCAAAATGCTCCTTAAAACCTTCTGGCCCATCTCCTTTTTTATATTAAAAATATTACATTTATAATTTTTATTTTTTTTTATATAATCTGCACCTTGATATGTTTCTTTAAGCAGACACAAGCTTGGCTAGGGCTGCACATAACCTCTCAAATGATGTATTGTTGTTTTTTTTAAAACAGACAGTGTTTTAAAATAAACCCTCTCATGCTTATGCTGTGCCCTTTGGGTGTGTTGTTTATTTTTCATGTGTGTTTTATGTTTCCCTGCACTGCCTGAGTTGTCATCCTGAAGCAGGCAGCTTGAAACCCTCCAGCCCTGTCCCTGTGTCCTGCCCAGAATAAACCACCAGATCTCCATGTCCCTATGGAATGCTCTGATTTTCCAGCAGCTGGAAGCTGTAAAAAGCCAGTCTTGAGCTTTTGGATGTAGAAAAACTTAATGTTATGCTTTCAAAGTGTGGATATCAAAAGCAGATTGTTGTTTGCAATTTCTTGGTTCAGAGGCAGAGTTCTGGAAAAGGAAATGTTCACTGCTCTACCCTTGTGCTTGGCATTTTCTTCATCCTGTAGAAATCTGGCAGAAAATATTGCAATAATGGAAAACTGCATAAAAAACCACATTGGTCTATGTGATTTTTTTTCTTTTTGGAGTTCATTAAAATACCAAGCCCTGGATTGGAGCTTGGACCCTGCAATCTCCAGAAGGTCCCTGCAGCTCTCCTGCCTCTGGCACTCTGCCCAGGGACACTTCAGCATCCAGAGCTGCAGAACTCAAACCCATTGAGCCAAAATCTCCTGGCAGGCATGGATTCAGCTCCTGGACCTGCAGTGGAACCTGTACTTGGGGTGTTTGGGACCTCAGGGCTCTTGCTGCTGAGCCAGGGCCCATCACCTCTCCCAAAACCTGGCTTTTTAGTCTGTATCTCTGCTTTTGGGAGCCTCTTGCAGCTGCTCAGAAAAATGGACTTTGTGCCTCTTTTGTTGCCCAGTTTGTAGAGCAGCTGTGGTGCCCAAAAAGCTGCCGTTTTCTTGTGTGAAATTCTGGGAACAGTTTCATTCTGTTTCCTCTGAAACTTGAGATTTCTTTTTTGTTTTTAATTTAAAAAATACGCTGCAAGTGGAAAATCTCCTTTTTGCAGGGGGTAACTTTTAAGAATTATTTATTGCTATATGAATAAATAAGCAGTGCCAGAGAGTTGGTGGAGCCTGTCCCTTCTCTTCAGAACAAGCTTTTAAACTAAGAAATTGCTGGTAAGGCTCAGAAAAATGCAATAAAAGAGAAAGGAAGCGAGTTTGGATTATTAAGCAGGCTTATTTAAAATCTTGGGGTTTTTAAATTCATTTCCATTATGAAATTAAAGATTTTGAATAATACTTAAGCACACTGAAGCTGAAACCTGAATTTTCCTCTGCTCTTAGCTACCTTATTAATTTCATCCTGGATGCCACGCTGGGGATGCTGCTGATCTGGCTGGGTGTGAAAGTTGTCTCCTGGATTGTTCAGCACAAGAAATACACATACCTGGTCTTTGGGGAGTATGGTAGGTGTCACCTGCTGTGCCCACAGGGGCTTGGTGTGCTCACACCTGGGAATGGGGGGAAAAAATGGCAGAAATGGGGCTGGAATGGGAGCAGTGTTATCCCTTCTTCAGGGAGCTCCTGAGGGTGAGTTAAATGCTGGAACTACCACTGGAGTGTATCAGGGTGTTGAGGAAAAGCTGAACATTTCCTTGCATGTAGAATATACCCCAGGACATCTGTGTGGTAAATTAAGGTGTGTAAAGTTCTTTATGGGCTTCTTCTGTGGGTTTTTGCCCACCATCTCCATTCAGAATATGGAGTTTTTCTTGTTTTTGCCTTGAGCTGTGGTGGGGAGCAGCCAGGTGCAGTCTGACCCTAAAAGTTGAGTTTTCAAGTGCTGCCTCTTTCTCTTTAAATTTCTGCCTTGAGGTGGAGAAAACATTTCCAAAAAGCTGCTCTCAGCCAGCCCCACTAGAGGGTGGCAGTTCCCTTCCAAAAGAGCAGAGCCAGATTGCTGGAGAAGCTGTAGGAAAGGGAAAAATTTAAGCTCAGCCTATTTTACATTACATCTGATGTACAGAAGAATTCTGTCCTATTTCAGAAAATACATCTTATTCATAAAAATTGCAGTCTTGCCATTAAGATGTTAATCATGAAGTCTGTTCTGAAGTTAGTCTGGGGTTTTTTTTTGTGTTTTTAGTGGCTGGTCTGGCATATGAGCTGGTGAAACTTGGACCCAGGTGGGATCAGTTTGGGGACCCCAGTGCCCTGTGAATTTCCTCAGGCTATGCAGATGGGCCATGGCAGAGGGTGAAGGGCCTGGCTGGGTTTGAGAGGCAGCAAAACAGCTACAGACTGGGAATGGGATGGTGTGGTTAGGGCTGGCTCTCCTCAAACCTGAGAGGGGCTTTAAAGGCTGATCTCCAGAGCAGTTTGAGCATCCTGACAGCGGGCATTGGGTGGGGGTAAAACCTTCTGTATTTTCCCTTTTAGCTCCTCCTTTATAATGGATCCCT